AATCAATTTAGATATATATATAATTTACAATATTTTAAAATAACAAGAAACATTTGAAAGTAATTTTCTGAAACTTTTGAAATATTTAATTTTATTAGTTTTGAATTATTAATATAAAAAAAATATTAAATTAAATTTTAATTACACAATTAAAATTATAACCATATATATAAAAATATATAGACAATAAAATATTAAGTTATAAATAAACATAAAATAAGAATAAAAATAAAATAAATAATAATATAATAGTTGTATTAAAAATTAAAATGAATATTATATTTTTATATTTAAGCATTTTACAATTATTATTCGAACAATTCAATCTAAACTATGATACATACGGCATTTTTGGATGCCGCGGAATTCCGCGCATGCGTAAATACAAAATTTGTATCTTGGGTTGTACCTTGCAGCATCACGTGATCTCAGCGCGTATATACATCCTGCAGCCGGCAAATTTCCCCACTCATTCTTTCGAACCTTTGCGACGAGGTTCTCTTTTCGAATTTATAACTTTTCTTATGATTTGTCATTGTGATCAATGGACAATTGCTCTCAAAATCAGTCTGTACAAGAGTCAATCATTTATTATTGTGACAATAGTTCTTGCAGACTAATTCATTTATAATTTTCAATAGAACCAAGCACATAAAGAATAATAATTATAATATATAATTTCCAATGATTCTTTTATTACATTTGTAAAATAAAACGAAGAAGTACATGAACAAATATGAACTTTTATCATATTTAAATCAAATAATCGTCGGATTAAGTTCAAAGTTGTCACTCGATTCCACGAAAGAACGAAAGCAACATTTCGTGGACAGTTAGTGACGCGGTAATGGGTTTGACGGATACGAGTTTCGAAGTACTTTTGACCCTGTGGAGGGTTCTCGTCGTGGGAGTCGTGTGGACCGAAGAAATCTGCGGTCAGTGTAGCGGTGTCTTGCTGAGCCACAGCATTGCCGATCTCACTCGTTAATCATATTGGACCATATTATTTGGTAAGTGAAAAATGCACGATGCAAATATTTAATATTACGACCAATTAACAATGATTAATTATGATTAATTACTTTTAATTTAATATTAATATAATTCGATTTATTTACAAATAATATTTTGTTTCCTTTTTGCTACTTCTTTTGCAAGATTTTAAATAATAACTTAATTATAAAAATTTTAATATAAAAAAAATTCTTGATCTCTTTTACATTTTCTTAAAAGTTATTACAAATAACTTTTGTCATTATCGTAGAAAGATTTAATTCAATTGTGAATATCACAATCTTAATGAAGAAGAATATAATGCTTTGAATTTTTAATCTCATATTAATATTAAATTTAATTATATCATTTATTTAACATTTTAAATGATGAAAAAGAAAAAGATAAAAATTGATCAAAAAACAAATTTCTCTATTTTTTGAATGTTAGAACAATAGTTTGAATTTAAAATTTATGATTGATTCTAATAACTAATAACGTGAAACAATTATTTGAATGAGTTATAGATATATGTTTCAATTGCAGATATTCTTATTTTTCACGGTCATTTGTGGTTTCGATTATCCTTATTCTCATATTTCACTATATGATTTATTTTTAATGTTTCAAAAAACTTAGAAGTACGATTCGCGGAAGATCGAGGTAATTTATCAATTCTTTCGCGAAAAAACAATAATATATTTTCCTTGATAAAATCTGAAAAATTATAATGCATAATTGAAAATGAATAAAAGAAGATTCGATAAAAGCTTTCAAAAATATGTACCATTATTAAGTAAGGTACAAATGAGAAAGATTTTTAATTTAAAAAAATTATAAATAAAATTAAACATTAATAGAAAGATCTATGTACTTCGTAATGTACTTAATAATATTAGAAGAGATTGTATGCTAAATGAATACTGATTGCTTTGTTTTTTGTATTTATATTATTTTTAAAGAAAAAAAAATATAAATCTTAATATATATTTAATAATAATATTTTTATCAGTATTTTTTAGTATCAAATAACGAAAAGGAAAGTCTTCTAATATAGCCTTAATGTGTAATTGCATTCAATATAGCACTAACTCATGACGTTATATTAAAACGCCTCTGATATAATAAGCATATGAAGTATTATTCTACCTTAAAAAATAAAATTAAATATTTCACAACGCTTGATGAATAAATTTAATCATAGGTAGTAAATGAAATGGAATAAAAATACGTAATAAAAATAGCAAAAAAAAATCAATCTTAATATTAGATTACCATTAATATTAAATGTATTATACATATATATATATACTCTCGATAAAAAAGATCAAAATTAATTATAATATGAAAAGTATTAAGTATATTTTTAATAATTAAACAAAAAATAAAAAATTAAAAATCCATCGTTCAACCGGTTTCGATATTTCTCTCTATTAAATAGGAACCATGTAAGTCGATATGATAATATGAGCAATACAGTTCTGATTATCATTGGGATCTATCCTCACCTAATCCCGCTAATAACGATTTAATTAATACCATGATTTTATTCATCACCTTGAATAAGAAACCCTAGCCCCCCCCTCCACCTTCGTTCTTTTTCTTCGAATTTGCACGCAACTCCCTCTACATTTCTTAAGCGCGTTTGTCATGTCATCATTTAAATCTTAGGGAACACGCGAGAGTTGCGTTTCGTTCGTTATTTTTTTTTCTCAAACAAGATTCTTCTCTGGATATTGAAGCAGGGTACGTGTATACGAATAACATTTCTTCCGAGTTCGAGTTTTCGCAATCTTTGTTTGCACACATCTGTCATCACGATTAATTACACTTTGGTATGTTTGCTATGTAATTTCAAATATAATGATCAACTGATCAACTATGAGACGTATATATGTAAAGATGGATGTAAGCAACGATCGTAGAAAAAATGGTGCACGAATGATAAAATGTATAATTCGAGAGATAACTTTGTATAATATACATTGAAAGTGTATATTGTATAATATATACTTTCATGACTAAACTTTTTAGGAATAAGAAAGAAATTCTTTCTTATTGATTGTTAAAGAAATGTATTCTTTTTTTTTTTTTTTACGAAGAAAAATGGAAAAATTAAGTTTCAGAAGAAATATGGAGAAGAAATATTTATTATCTTGTTGTTATTTGAAAAGAAAAATTTAGAAATTCAATCTGATCAAATGAATCTTATCTCGTTTACAAAAAATAAACTTCTATTTTTTCCTATTGTAAATCGTTCTTTGAAAGTTACGATTAAAATAATCTTTTGTGTATAAATTATTTAATATATTGTATGAAAATTGCAATATTTAATTTAAAGTTATCTTATGTTAGATATTTGTTATGTTTTACGGAAAATTGAAGAAAAATAATAAAGAAAAAAGCAAGAATTTTTTATCAAATCGTAGATATTTTGTAGATTTTTTTATTTTTTTAATTTTTTTTTTATCATTAGAATTTGTAATAATTTTAATAATAATTATATAAAATACTTTAATCGACTTTTCAATCTTGTATGAAATTTCTTATATAACTAATTAAAAAATTCTTATATATATATTTCTTATATAACTAATTAATTCATAGAAAATTTTTTATCAGAATATTAGAAAAAAATTTTTACTCAATCAAACTATTTTATTCAAAATTTTTCCAAGAACTTATCAATAATTCTTACAGAAATGTTATTATTATGTTCAAAAACACTTAGAAGAAATTTTCATCTATCGTTCCATTATAGAAATCGGACAATTTCGATACCTATGATTTCGATATTC